TGATCAATGATCATTATTCAAATCTAATAATTGAAAAACACTTAAAATTTGTAAATATTTCTTGTTTGTTTATTTATTTATTTCATTATGTATATATTGAAAATAAGAAAAATAGACTGAACATTTTCGATCTTTCAATCACTATTGTCAACTTAGTAATGAGTACAAAAAAAAAAATTATATATAGATTCATCGTTTTTTTCATTATTTATATCAGCATGATTTAGGTTGACAATGATCATGTAAAAATCAAAAATTTGTCTTCAATCATCGGTCTTTTTTTTGTATATATACATGTATTAAATATATATATTCACAATTTTTTACTGTATTCTATTACATAAATCTCAAGATGTGTTATTTCATGAAAAACCCTTGAGTCAGGACAAAGAGTATGACAATTATTTTATGAATGATAATAGCTGATTATTGCTCTTAAAAAGTGATTCCAATTAATCATATTCAATTTCATTTGAAATCAAAAGAGATACATGTAAAAAAAAACCTCTTTCATAGAATAAAAAATTCAAAATTTTCTTTTTTTTTCTGTATCTAATTTTTGTAAAAAATAAATATTTAGATATTTTATTATTTACTGTTATTCATGCTTGTTTATAACGTCATGTTGTTTCAGTTTATCTGGTTTTTTTTTTTATTGATATTGATATTTTTTTGTGAAAGAAAATCGATCTAACAACAAATGTATGCATGATAAGAGAAGTTTAATGTACATATAGATGAGAAAAAGAAGAAGAAAAAAAAAGAAAGCGACCCTGGCAGGAGTCGAACCTGCAATCTTCTGATCCGAAGTCAGACGCCTTAACCATTAGGCCACAAGGCCGACATATAGGTATGTTGATTGTGAACATTTTAACACGAAGAAACGAAAAAAAAACCGAATTTCCAGTTTCATAAAGTAAGCAAATACTGCTGTTGAGTATTATTATTGGTATCATGAAAGCAATTTTACCTATTATCAATTAAAAACAATACACATGTGTAGCATTTCATAAATAAATTTCATTTGTCATCTAAGAGAATAAGAATAAAACAAGTGCAAACAAACTTTATGAAGAATTTTATATTCGATGGAAAGAGAACAAATTTTATTAATTAGTTAATTTAAAAGTTATCATTTACGAAATTTCGAATTTTCAAACATGAAACATTGTTTTCTGTAAGAAAGTTAGTGTTTTCAAAAGATTATAATATTGTGTTTTATTTATGAAACACCAATCTTAATATTTAAACGAACTAGTTTTTTGAAGACTTGCTTTATGTACATCAATACAAAGTTATTCATAAAGTTTATTTAGACTTATTTTTTTATTTATTCACTTAAATAAGAACGGAAAATTTATCCATAAAAGACTATACATGTGTTTTTGTTGCACTTGATGACAGGTAAAATTACTTTCATAATATCAACAATAATACTTCACAGCGGCATTTATTTATCTTATCGGCATGAAAAACAAACTTAGAATGAACTTCTACCACTAACTAAAAAAAGCATCAATCCATTTGATTATTAAACTGATGCAAAGATATATTATTATTTTTTTTTATCGTAGTACTATTCATGGGACACCTTGCCATACTGGAGTGATGTAATATTTCGTGTGAATGAGAAGAATAATTTCTTTCTCCTCCATCCTCAATGAATGTTGTAAGAAATTTTGTTTTTTTGCTGATTAAAATAATACTTCTTATTCACTTTGATGCTCAGATGGTTCAAATTTCATATATTGCAGCGAAGGTCGCTACAGTCAACGCTAATGTTCTGATTTTCTGATCTTTTGTTTTCTCGTTTATTATAGCAAAATATTACATAGTATGTCTTAATAGAAAAAAATATGTTTAGTTTTATATAATAATACTGACTTTTGACGTTTAGTAAATAAAAAATTGATGATTAATCGTCAAAAATGATGTGATTTTGATGATATGAATTTCGTTTTGGAATATGAATAGCATTAATATGAGTAATTATCAATAATTATATCGATTTTTCGTCTCTTGATAAATAAATATATTTTACATATATTTTATTTCAAACATGAAGAGCGAAATATGAATGATTATAGTATTTATGAATGTATATCATTCTTATAATTCTACATGTCAATATAAAAAATAGCATCAAAATTTCTCAATATTGAAGATATTATTTAATCGTACATGACATACGTGAAAATTTTGCAGTGCTTGATTAAATATTCTTGAATGAAATTTGTAACGATGTTATGCAGATACTTTGTTCATAAATCTTTTACTTTCTCCTATTAACAATCATAATGACATTCAAATACTTTCCAGACATGAGGGCAGATTCGAACTACAGAAAGTTTTACAGACTGACTCTCTATTCATATAAAGAAAAACAAGTCAATGAGAAATATTATATGATGTATGAAATATTGCTCTTAGTCAAAGCTGTAACTCGTATAGTTTCGCTTGTTTGTTCCAGATGTTTCTTCTCGAAATGCTCACATTCTGTTTACTAAAGAAATGATTAATCATTTCGGTGGCAGGACATGACATTTTCAAGGTCTTCTCAACGAAAAAAAGAGTTGTGACGTACACTATTTGAAATTGAAATCTAACTTTAGATGATTTGTCTGGAAACTATGGTGATAGAACTACAATTAAAAAACTAATTTCAATCTAATAGTCCTCAATGAAGTAAAATTGACTTAGATTTATATGAACAAAAACATCTATGGTACTGTTCATCATTGCACTGAATGATCAGTAACTCTCTCTCTCTAGTTGCTATACAGTTATCACTTAGATTCAGCTATCGGATTCATCTGATAGGATCTCTTTTTTCATATTTACATTAATTGATTTTTCGTATGCTTTTTTTTTCATCAATTCTACTCAATTATTAGACATGTAATGATGATTCATTTTCATAATTTGAAACAGATCACTAAACAATTGTCGTTGGTTTGATAGATTTTCATTTCTATGCATGATCAATCCAATAATAATGTTCAAAGAAGAAACAGTCTTAGATTCTTAATAGGAACGTTGATCTGTTACATGTGACTCATTTTTTCTTATGCAAAAAACCGTACTTTTAGTGTAGGATTCAACTCACGACATACACAAGAAATGTACTTTTTACTGTGACCTATTAATTAGCATGAAAACACTGTATAGATTCTTTTTCTTGAAAAGAAATATATTTTTGTTGAATTAATGTATTTTTTTGCCAGAGACCTGACATAGAAATGAGAAAAAAAACAAATCAACAATGAGTAATCGAACTAAAGTACTGCAGAGTTACTTTTTCTATGAGACATGCCAAGGGCACTCAATCAAGAAAAAGTACATTCTTTTTCTCTTTTTCCTTCTCTTCATTCTTCAACTAGACGACGACAACGACTATATAAATAAAGGATACAGAAGCATCATCTCACACACAACAAGCAATCGCAAAAACATGATTAAAATTCTTATTTTTGTCGCTATCGTAAGTTGCTTTAATGCATTTTGATTGTATAAGATCTTTAAAAATTTTCGACTTTAGCTATGTTTGGGATTGGTTTCAGCTCGTGGTTTTGGTGGTAATCGTCATGATGGTTCAAGTGAAGAAAATAACAACAATGTACCACTATCCAAACTATGTGACAATATTACAGTGGCTCAAACATATGTGACTCAACTTCAAGGAAACATTACGGCACTGGTCAACAATGGTTCTTTCACTACTTGGTTACAACAACATGTACAAGAAGTGGCATATATCCAAAATGCTTCCAATACTGATCTTCTTTTATCGAATTGCACAGCATATTTCAGCGGCTTGTTGGCAGCTCGTGCACTTGATCAAACTGCCCAAGATCAACAAAAACAATACATGACCATTGCCGATCGACTCATTGGCGATGTCCTTCGTCAATTTATACGAAAAGGCAGAGGTTCTCGTCATTGAAAATGAACATTAGAACATCACTTCCTATCGAACAATTTACTCTATATATATTTAGCCCTGCTTTTATTGTTTTATTTGTTCAATATGTGCTTTCCTTTTGTGTCAAGATTGAAATAAAATATCAACTGTTAAAATTCTTTCTCAATTAAATCAGTATTTGTTGTTCGATAGAATTAATAAGGAATCTTTTGTTTTTGCAATTTTATTATTCCTCAGGAAAAAAGGCGCAGAAAAAAAAATTTATTTCTATCATGACGTCTAACCATTCTGTTGCACATGAAAATTTTCCGTGATTGATTATTTACACTTTGTCATTCACAGTGGTGCACTGAAGCCATTTTCTGACGGTAATGTTGTCATCATGAAGAGAAACAGAAATCTGAATAGCGGTTTAAAAAAGTTGTGCTATTGAATAAAGATCCTCGTTTTAAGCATTTCCTTTTTTTTCATATTATATCCATATCCCACTCTATTCAAAAAATCAATTATTCATCATGGCATGATATGTGTATTACGAAGAAAGAATCAGTGACTTAATTTTTTTTTTCTCAAGTTTACTGTAAACAAAGATTATAGAAGAATATTGTAGATTTTTATTCAAAATTCATCTTTCCATCTAGCTTTCTTATGCAATGAGCAACTGAAAATCAAAACTTGTCAAACTTTGCAAGTTGTTTCAGAAAACTTTGAGTTATTATAAAATTTTTTTTTAATGTTTGAGAGGGATTGCTTTTTCTCAATTATCGCACAATAACGAGTTTCTTAATGGCTACCAACTAAAACAGAAAATTTACTTGAGAAGTGAAAAGGAAAAGATTCGATCAATATCAACAACAATGTTAGTTGTAAGACACCGATCTATATTTAAAATCTCATTAAGCCTAAGTACAGTGAAATTCTATTCGATACAATATATCCCTATCGAATCTTGGAGTCAAATGAGTTTACTATATTGTATTAATGGTTGAAACAGACATTGCTCAATGTCGTTCAAAGATTGAATCAATGTTAAATGCTATTGCACGATATTTCTTTTATACATGTTTATGTAGAAAAGATGAACAATATTTTAAATTATATGTAATTGAAATCATTGTTCTTTAGTTGTACAAACCATTTGATTTTAGTAAAATGTTTGAAAACGAAATGTGATTTAGATATGATCTGTAATCATCTCGAAAATCCAACAAATTTTATTATCATTTTTATCAATTCACTTTAAATGATGTTTTGTTTTTTTTTATCTAACTCAATCGATAAGTGAAATGCTTGCTAAATTTCTTCAAATTCAATTGATACATTTTGACAAGATTAGTGTCAGTTTGAATACTGGCTAGATTTGATTCTCTATTAAATCAGCTGTTTTATCAGTTGCATTGAATGAAAACAGATGATGATCAATGGTGGATAAAGTGAAAGAATCATTTTCTCAATTTGAAAAGAGTTGTTGGTAACCAGAATGATGATGATGACGAATCGAATTTGAATAGTGTTAGTATTAATGATATATAAATACGCTTTATATATTATGATCAACTGTATTATTGAAATTTATGAAAAAATGATTTATGATCGAAATGATTATTTTCTGAGAGACTATTCATTGACTTAGAATCTTCTCCATGATTCACGTACTACAACTGTGATTGATGAAAAAAAATATATTCGAGCAAAAAGTTTAAAAAAATGTTTTTAAAAAAAATCCTGTCAAATTAATATAAATACAAAAGAATAACTACCATTCTATAAAGCACAACTGATTGAAGAATATTGCCTACATATTTTACCTCACATTATCATGCATGTTCATGAATTGTTGAACATGGACTTATCAAACTCGAGAAGTTTATTTTCATCCGATGTTAAAGAAATCAAAGGTTAGAGTTGCAAACTGTTTCTTCAAATATTCTGCTGTGTCTCGCAGAAGACAAATATGAATTTTGTGATTAGAGACTAATAATGTACTATGAGCTTAAAAGAGCAATTTCATCCTTAATGTATTGAATAGTAAAAAAAGGAAGTCGTATTAAAAACGTTCAACAAGATCGAGCTACAACGCTGCTCTACATAATTTCATGAAAAGCTAATGATCAAATGATAAGAATAAATCATTTCAAAGAGTTTGTGTGGGTATGGAGGTATGAACTCAATCTTAATGCAGTTTATGTATAGGATGCAGATAAGAATGTGATTTTTGGTGTGTGTGTGGGAGTGAGCTTGGCCTTTGAATCAACGTGTTTGCGTGGCATACGTGAAGGTTTTGAACGTTCTGAGGAGATCGGTAATTCTTGTTGGATTTACGTGTATGCGTGCCCACGTGGGTGTATTAGTATTGTTGTCGAATGTTTTGTATATGTTGGGTGTAGAAATAAAATGGTGGGCTTTGTGTGAGTGTAATCATTTGAATAGTAAAGAGAAGAACCACACTGCATGTACGTCAATACTTTAACTAAGATCTTTAGCGGCGTCAGCACCTACACCCATTCACATCCTGAAGTAGATAAGGAACGAGTAAGTGATATTGACGTAGTTTTCTGAAGAATCATAAAAATAAAATCTTGGCTGCAGTATTGGCTATAATTGTTGCCTTTATAAATTATGCAAATATTTCAACTTAATGTATCATCAGACAATAGCCTGTATTTGCAATAATATATACATGAGAAAAAGCTTAGGCGACCAACTATCCTGTCCAATCTTACTCAAACTTTGCTCAAGAAGACCTGTAGTTGTTATCATTATTTTGCATTACTTTGTGCAAACAAATAATTACAAAAGCAACAGAATATTATTACACAAAACTAATATAAACTCACATAACGAGAAAAAAAATCCCACCAAACACACCATATATTCAACATACATTTCAATATCTCAAAAATTCAAAAAATCTTCATTCATGTTGACCAAAATTATTCCAACTCTTGTTACAATATCGGCAGAACTTATCTACCGCATTCTTGATCATCTTGGTAATTTTGATATTTTATGCTCAACACACAATGTTTGTACTTGTATGAATGACATTGTCGACAGCTACTATTGATATCAAGTAAAACAGTACTATATCTCAAAATTTTGACTTTCATCATCCCTAACATATTATTCATTTATCTAAGATAGCAATTGATACATCGTCTGTGTAGAGTACTTTTCTTAGCTAAGCACCCATCACTAGATCGAACCAAGTAAATTTAACAATTTCTCGAAAACTACTTATGTTTTCAGTTCAAGTCGACAATTGTCATTGATCATTAATAACAATTAAAGCTAACCAAAAAAATTCTTTTAGTAATAAACCGTCAAACGCGAAAATGACCACCATCCATTGAGATGATGATATTTTGAAAAATTTTGAACAAATTATAGATGAAAACTATACTGCAAAATCCATCACTGAAACCGAAGGAACAAAGATAGCACTAAGAGTGATCCTTCCCAGCAATAATCGAATATGTCATCAGACCTAAGTCACTAATTTAATCTTTGTTTCGTAGGCTAAAAAATCGAAGATAATCTCAAAAAATATACTAAAATAAAATAATATAATCTTTTCCAAGTTATTTAATTTAATACTTCTTCTAAATATGTATATGATTGACTTGGTAAAAATTTGAATAGATTGATAAATGATCGATTTTGTGATTTATCTTTTCTGATTAGTACTTGTAAGAAGTACTATTGTTCAATAAATTGATATTCACTTATCATTAATAATGATATATCAACATAAACAGAAAAAATCAATATTATGTCCTGAATGTTGTCTTTTTGTATTTTGTTTAGTTTCTCAATAAATTTTACAATGAATTGATGTAAAATAATTTTTCTAAGAAAAAAAACAAGGGTATCTCATCGTTCTTTACTTATTGTTTTTTCTGTATATATGATTAATAATAAATATTTATTAAATCATATTTTTAATATTCAGTTTTAACCAAATGAAATAAATCTTTATTCTAAGTTTGATGATTGAAAAATACTTGAATAAAGACAATAAACATAAAAATTATGTGTGATAATAATAGCTGATTTTTTTTTCCTTAAAATTGAATCTAATGAACCCTTTCCAGGTCTATTTGAGATCAAGAAATGCATGTGAATAAGATCTATTTGATGATATATTACTTCAAATATTTTTTCTTCATCTAAGTTTTTTGAAAAAAAATAAAAATAAATATTTACATAAGAGATATTTTATTATTTATGGTACCTAATGCTTGTTCATGATGCTTTGTGGGTTCAGTTTTTTTTTAACATAGCTTATTTACATTTTAATAAATCAATATTTATATATAACAATAATAAACAATGTTCTATATACTTCAATTAATTATTCGTTGATAATCGATCAAAAAACAAAAATAAGAAAATTTTGTTTTTGATTATTTTGAGCTTTTGTAATTTTTTTAATGGAAGAAAATCAATCTAACAATGTACAAATAGATGACAAAAAAAGAAAACCGACCCTGGCAGGAGTCGAACCTGCAATCTTCTGATCCGAAGTCAGACGCCTTAACCATTAGGCCACAAGGCCGACATATAATCATGTGTAGTATGAACATTTTAACAGAAAAGAAAAAGAAAAAGATAAGAATGAATGAGAAAAAAAAGAAAGAGCGACTCTGGCAGGATTCGAACCTGCAATCTTCTGATCCGAAGTCAGACGCCTTAGCCATTAGGCCACAAAGCCGGTGTTATATGCAATGAGAAATTCCGATGTCAATCGTACTAATAAATCTCAATCAATTTAGCAACTTAAGCCTCTTTTTTTCTTATATATAAATTGATTTATAAAATTTCCTTTTAAATGAAAATTATTCGAAGTATAATAAAAAAAAAATAATAATAATCATATGAGAACAAAATCAATAGTTTAAATATCACGTAATAAAATATACGTATACGCTGATCAAACATTAATTTACTTCTATTCGCTTGCTTAAAATGTAAAAAGATGTCTATTTCAATTGTATGAAAGAATAATTGTACGAAAGAAAAAAAAAAATCATATGATTTGTTTTGAGATATAAATGAATAAGAGTTTGTGAACATATATTTGAACAATGATGAATTTTGTTTAATATTCGATTCTTTTAAATGAGTATTAACTTTATCTATCATATAATTTTTATTGCTAATAACGATTAGAAGAAAATTTTTTTCATAATTAAAATCAATAAAAACGATGCTTAGTTTATTTCGTCATTTATTCAACAAATACTTTGATCATAGAAATTTATTTTTTAAAAGAACAATTATTAATAAACTAAGTCATAATATAATGATTCATCGATTTCGAAACTTATTTTTACAAGATAGAAAATCTCTTTTATTATTGTAAGTTAATCAGAAAAAAAAAAGAATCTTTTAGATTTCGTTATAGAAATTTGCATTATGCTATCATCTTTCTCTTTTTTTTAACTTACAATAGAATACAGCTAACAGGTTTCAAAAGGAAAGAAAAAGATTCTCTCATTCATATATATGATTTAATGCATATGCATATGTACAAACTGCTCGATGCGATCATACATGACAAGTCATATAGATGAAATATTCAAAAATGTAATAAACAGTTCGAAAATCAATTGAATACTATGTTTTTTTTCTAGTTCAGTATTAAAAACTGACGAGAAAATATTCCCAGGTATCAAATCAATTTTGGATCGAGTATATGCCCAAACGATAGACCTCAATGAGCTATTAAATACTCTACAAGGGTTTACTTTTTCAAGCCTCCTGAGCAAAGATATGCGATTATTACTATTAGTAGTTTTGCTGGACTACAATAGTAATGCATTCTATATCTTGACTAAACATGCACCGATCAGGCTCAAATTTATATCAATAGTAAGGTACTCTGTACTGATTAAGATTCTAGAGTTTGAAGATGAATCATTGTTTTTTTATCAAAGATATGAATCTGTTTCTTCTACCAATTGATTGTTAAAAAATAGCATGTGCTCTCTCGTTCAAAGATGAAAGTATTGATTCATCCAGTGGCGTAGCCAGAAATTTTTGAGTCATGGGCAATTCATTAGCCGAACTATTTTGAGTTACGGCAGCTCAGGGCAACCGTTATGATTTCAAAAATATCTATGCGCAATAATTGTTCAAGCACTACATAGCTCAATAAATCCATGGGCAATTGCCCAATGGCCCCACCCCTGGCTACGCCACTGGATTCATCTAATATTTTCAGCACACATTCATTTCATAATGAACATACACAAAAAAATGTTAGCTTATATGTCGATGCTTTAGTTAACAAAAAATTAGAACCACAAATTCGTGTATTTTCATAATGGAACACGCAGTACTGATATATTAAACTTAATTTTCCAAATATGTCGATATCTTGCATATGTATTTCACTGATCCAAATTAAGACTTCTTTTGTTTGAATGCTTTCTTTGCATAGAATCGTTGATAGTCGAAAACGGCAAAGATAAGTGTTTATGTCCTGATTTAGTTAAAAAGAGATTGATATGTAAAGTGAAAGAAGAAGTGTCTGGAGAAGCACATGTTCGTGTTGAATATATATGTATGTTTAATCACGATAATTAATTTCTAATATTACTACACATGTCATGAGTGTGATTGATCCTTATGTTAGTTCATTGGGTGTAGTTTATCGTAACTAAATATTATGTATTGAAAATTTTCTCAACAACTCTCACTTTCACTCATTGAATGATTCTCTCTATTTTCTTTGTTTTTGTTAACTCTTTTCTGACCTATAAACATATCAATGAAAATAGATCAAATGATGAAAAGTAGATGAATACATGGTTCCAATTTTTATTAAGTAAAGCATCGACATATAAACTAACATTTCTTCGTGTATGTTCATTATGAAATGAATGTGTGCTGAAAATATTAGATGAATCAATACTTGCATCTTTCAGCAAGAGAACACATACTATTTTTTAACAAGCAATAGATAGACGAAACAGATTCATATCTTCGATAAAAAAACAATGATTCATCTTCAAACTCTGGAATATTAATCAGTACAGAGTTTTGACTCTTTTACTATTACAATGAATAAATCTTTAATTTTCTCAAGAATAAAGTAAAATTTGAAAAAAAAACTAAATAATTATTTTTGTAACTCAAAACTGTTATAGAAAAAAAACAATATAAGTCTACAAAAATTCCTATAAACACATGCTATTTGTCTATCTATATTGACTTTCATAAATTTCCTTTTTCGCACTTTGACTGAAACTTGGTCAAAGATTTTTTTTTAATGATGACTTAATCATGATCTCTACTGATTAGATATTGCAATTATCGATTATTTCGAAGTCTAATAGTTATATCGAAAATGAATACTCTCAGGATAAGAAATATCACTATGACATACTTAATCAAACAAAAAAGACAAAATAGATATTATTACAGCACGATGTCAAATATGTCGATAAAATGTAGATAAAAGATGTATTCTTACAAAAATAAATCATAACTTTAAACTCTGATTAAAAATATTATGAGCCTTACTTATTCAAAAATTTATTCGTTGTAGAAAAATTCAATATTTTTCAAATAAATACAATGATAAATAGAAAAAAAATTTCGTCATGGTATAATTTTTTGTGTAGAAAACTAAAGTCAGGAGTTCATCTTGTCTGCTATTTATTTGGTAACATGACTTTTAGTGTGAGCTGAGTTAGCTATTGATCCAAGCAGACAGACAAATATGTATTCTATTTAAGAAGCATGCTTTTGTCACTGATTCCAGTTAACATATTGATATTTATGACTTGTATCAATAGAAGACGTCGCTGACTTTTTTTTTTATTTGTCAAGACAATGATCAAATACAAAATATATAGCTGTGTTTATTGAAGTTTATTTGTATCTATTCAGAAGTAATTACGTTTATATACATTGTAGTCAAGCTTCTAAAATTTTTACTTGGATGAAGTAGGAAAAAAAAATGTTTCTTCTTTCAATTTTTAAAATAGAAACTTTCCATTATTATAGATATTAGAAATAGTCCATAGATTTTGTAGGTTGAGTACCCGTTGAGTTGAAGCTTTCAAGAATCAATCCTAATCTGATCCCATAGATTGGACAGATCGGTTTTGATAGTCTTAATCCATGATACATTTATCAAATTTAAAGGATGATAGTACTGTTTGACTCATAGATAATCCATGAATTAACCTGGGAAACCACATAGGTTCTCTATCGTTGAAATATCTCTTTTTTTTCATCATAGTCTAAATGAGCTCATAGAGCTTTCAACTGGGTTATGGATATCGCATGGATTGCTTTATTTACTGTGAGTTTTTATCTATTTTTCTAGATAAGAAGCGTCGTATTTAGTTTACATAAAACGCTATTAGTCTGAATATGTCAAGTGTCAATATAAATAATGAGGAAAATGTTTCATCAAATGAGACTGTTCAATCACAACAAACAACACATATTGTAACAATACATCCACCACAATCTCAGTCAACCCAATCTTCAGAAATTTATTTTCAATATCCAATGACGCCTTCAGTACATTATCATACTAATGAAATAATGCCAGGAACACTTGTTCATGATGCTAGAAATGGTCATCATCATTATGTAGAAAATATATTTGATGTACACGAATACACAGTATGGTCAGTATTTAATTTAATATTCTGTTGTCTTCTTATGGGTGCTTTTGCACTAGGTATGTCTTGTAAAACAAGACGAAAGAAAAAAGATGGTGATCTTATAGATGCACGAAGTGCTTCAAAATTAGCTGTAGTATTAAATGTACTTGCTACTCTTTCTGGTATTGTTACTATTACTCTCAGTATTTTTCGATTTACTGGACATATTTCAATGTAAATTATTACATTTTATATTTGTGTTACGCATTTGAATATTTTGCTTCTTTTCTTTTTTTATTGTATATGAATGATGATTTTGTTTTTTTTTTTTTGAATGTTGTGATAAGAACTATCAATGCATATTTGTTAATTTTTATTAATTTTTGCAATTTCATGCATTTAGATAGAAACAAAAAAAAGTTTACTTAGATAGATATAAAAGATTGAAAATTATTCAAAAAATGGTGACTAGTTTATAAAAATCTTGAAAATCAACTAATAGGAAATAAAAAGTCTTTTGAAAAAAATTCTTTGAAGTCTCTATACACAAGAAAAACATGTTTTCCATCGTCATAAGATCTAATTGATGTCGTGCATATTCGTATGAATCATATATGAAGAGATCTTTCTCAAATACGAGCATATTCAGTATAATCTTATTGTATTCTAATTAAAATGTACTGTTGACTTTGCACTTTCTTTTTGAAATTTAGAAGCATTTTTCTTTATCATAAAATAAAGCATTCATAAGTGAATATAATGTATCTTTAGGCATGTATATTAAGGTTAGTTTTATAAGTATCTAAAGGCATATTTCGAAGCACAAAAATAGAAAAAAAGAATTTTTTATTTAACGGCTATTTTTTGTTAATTATTTCTTCAGAGATAATTATATTCATGAGATCTAACTTGGAACTCATAGCCATACTAATGGTACATTTCATTATGAATGAATTCTATCGATACTACTTTAATCTCAAAATAAGTAACTGACTGAAAAAAGTTAATAAGACAGCATAGAAAACTTCGAGTCTTCTACTGTATCGAAAGCTTTACATATGTTTGAATTTTTTTGCTCTTCGAAAATATCCGACAAATTATTGATGATTCGAAAATGAAGTCTTGCAAGAAAAAGATTCAAGAGATCGAAGTATCAACTACTCGAAATTCTATGAATTTCGTCCATCTTAGATAAGCCATTCGTAGGCATCAACTTCTCAGAATGTTACTTGCTGATAGATCAATATGTCCATCGACTTATAGCTTGGATATAGAACAAAAATAAATATTATTTTCTATTCTTATTTGAAAGAATACAGCTGATGTCAAGGTTCTAGTTGATCACTAATGAACTGAATAATCAAATTTAATGAATTGTAATAGTTCAAATAAAAAATTGACATTTATGTGAATGTCAGAACATCCGATTTTGATTAATAAGAATATAGAATAGCCTATATAGTTCATTTCCTATTTCATAATTAACAACGCTATGTAAAATTAAATCAAACCAAATAAATTTCTAATCACGAAATTCTATACCTGGAATCTATTTATAAATACAATAATGGATTATGTATGAGACTTTTTTTTTTTTTTTGTTAAATTATAAAAAAATAAGATTAATAGGCTTATTTTCTCGTTTGATGAAATCAATCAGAAATCAAATTTTTTTCACAAAATTCTATTCGTAAGGAACAAAAAAAATAGATAATTTAGTGAACAATGAGAAGAATGATACAGAAGAAAAAAAATAAGTAACATCTATCATTTTTAGAATAATCAAATTAAAAGTAATATGAAATATTTTTATTTTATTTATTTAATGCATAGAATTTAGAAGTTATTTATTTTAAAAAAGAATTTTTACTAATGATTAAAAACATGCTTTTTTTTTTTTTTAAAAAAAATATATTAATTAATATCTAATGATATTATATATTTATAAAATTCGTAATTCAATATAATCTTAGGATAAAAAAAAAAGCATCATTATAAAACCTGCGGCTATTTCTCGATATAGTAACGTTACAAAAATGAGATAAGATCTTTTTTTTTTTCAGAAAACGATATTATATTGATGAAATGATTATGTTTTTTTCTTTCATTTTCTTAAAAAATAGTTTTACTAAAGATTTAAAAAAAAGTGTTGTGCCATCGTTTATTCGAAACATCAAATTCCGATTGATTGTAGTAACAATGCACTTAAATGATATATATATATATTTCGAAAAAAAAAATGATAATATTTATCATAGCCTCGAATGTTCATTTCTTTATTGAACTATCATTAAAATAACGTGTACTTTGAGGAAACAATTTTTTTCCAACTCAGTTGATTAATGAGACATTTTTTCTTTTTCCCTAATGGCATATTTCTTTTTTTTTTTCTTCTCTATTAAACTTAACGTATATATATATATAGTTATAAGATAGACCATTTTTTTTCGTAAATATAATATTGTTTTTCTATAAGATGAAGGAAATCGAACTTATTTCACGTAGACTTATGATATTTGCTGGTATTCTAATATATGTATTTGGTTCAATTGGAAATATTTTAAATATTTGTGTTTTTACAAAATGGTGTCGTTCAAAAAAAAAATCAAAATATTCTCATTGTTGTCGTACAAGTAATAGTTCATTATATTTACTTGGTTCTTCAATATCAAATTTAATTGTAATTATTTATCCATTATTAACTAGAATTTTACTTGATGGTTATGAATATCATATTAAAGAAAGTAATGCATTTCTTATATGTAAATTACGCTATTATATATTACATACATTTGATTTAACATCGTTAACATGTGTTTGTTTAGCTACATTCGATCGATATTTAATATCATCACGAGAAGTTCGTCTTAGAAAATTAATAACAACAAGAAAACGAGCAAAATCTATTATATTATTAACTATCTGTTTATTTGGTTTACATGATATTCCAATAATAAAATATTATGGTGTTTCAACAACAGGAATTTGTACTATTGTATCAAGAATTTATTTATATTATTATTTATATATATTTCAAATATTTCTTCATGGTATAATACCAATTATATTTCTTTCTGTATTTGGTATTTTAACATTAAAACAATTACGAATAATAAGTCGAAGAAAAAATCATTATGGAATGATAAATAGTGATAAACAATTATCTCGTATGCTTTTATTATTATCATTAGCAATTATATTATCATCAATTCCATATTGTATTGAACAAACATATTATGTTTTATTTAATGGAAATAATCGTAAACATACATCATATTTTTTTCTTTATCATATTGCATGTTCAATATTATTTTATACAAATCCAGTATCTAGTTTTTATATATATTATATATCAACAAGAAGTTTTCGTATACAAGTACATAAAATTCTTTTTTCAAGAAAAAATCTTGATTTAGTTGTTTTTTATCAAATTAAACCAATAACAACTACAACAATAAGTTTACGTGAATCTATTGTATAAAAAAAAAAAAAAATTTTCCGTTTTTTTTTTTCTTTTTGTTTTCTTCATTTGTTAAATTTAAATATTTATAAAACACTTTCTATAAATTGAATATATTATTATACGGTGATATAGAATGTTGATTTTAACGGTAAACTGATAAAATTCAATTGATAATAAGATAACAACTTTCATAATTATGCAGTTAATAGATTTCTTTTTTTTTTTTTTTCTGAATTGTTATCATTTGAATAATGATCAAAAATGATTTAACACATCTATAAAGCGCTTGGAAACAAAAAAATTGCTCATTTTTTTTTATTAAAAAAAGAAAAGAACCTAAGGGGTTTATAAAATATTCAATATTATATTCAAACTTGTAATATTCTACCGCTTATCATTATATTAAATGATTATATCATCAAGTACAATGCTTTTGTTTCTGTTTGATTCATTTTTTAAAACTATTACAAGCGCGTCAGTATTTGTTTTAAGAAGCCGTCAAGTGAAATTCTTTATCATACTATAATTTTGCTAGTCTTGACTTTCAATTATTGAATGACAAATATTTCGAATATAGTTCATGTGTTCTTACTCTAGCCATTTTTCTTATCATATGATTTGAGTCTCGAATCATACTAAATGAATTTATTATGCTCATGCAAAGTTAACTAGATATTAGAAGTTAATTTCGATTTTAATTAAAGATTTTTCAACTAGAAATTCCGAGGGTTGTTGAACTACTTGTAACTGATTCTTATCGAATCCCAACAGCTATTAGTAGTTTTAAGTTCATATTTTTCATTTGTCAAAATATCTTGCAAAATACTAGCATCATACACTTGTGAAAATACTCAGATGTTAAGAAATCTTCAAATACAATGTCTACTATAAAAACAGTACATTTTAACTAACTTTTTCTTTCTATTATCAATAGCATCATTTCATAAATTGATATCATTATTGAGATAAACAAAAAATCAGTCAAAGCATATTATAGATATTATATGAAACATGACAATTTAAAATAGGACTTGTTACTATTAGAAAATCCATGAATTACATGAGTTTTACATTGTATGTTTGCGTACATTTAAATCAATAGAATATTTCTCGAAAAAAAAAGCTGCTTGCTTATTTGACATATTAACTGCACCCGGTTTTTCGCTGGTGAAGTTCAGAATTTTAACCGACCGGTTCTAGAAATGTACAGAACCACAAGAAAAAAAACCTCCGGGATCAAAACTGAAGTTTATAGTAAAATACTTTATGGTACAGTTTTGTCTATATTGAAACCAAAGAAACTTGGTTCTGCATATTTTTAGTCGCGTCAATCTCGTTGAAAAAACATTTAACCAGTTCAAAGAATAATAGAGTATTCCAGACGGCTGCTTTTCAGAATATATACTTATTCTTGTCATAGTTTGCATTGATATTAAAATAAATTTGAAAAAATAAATGAAACAGGAAGAAAAAAAGTGCATTTCCGAAGAACTTGACGACGGGAGCACCTTCATTATTCTTGATTTTATACTTTAATGAACAAGTATAATGCTCAACTTGTATGTATGAAGTTTTAGAGAATTTTACGCACTATTAGAATATATAATTACTTTTGTAAAGATATTAATTCATAGTATATGATACATGAAAAATATAAAGTTTAATTCTTTTTTTCTTTCATGAAGAATATATTCATGAAAATAAGAAATTATAAGTTTATTTTTTGAATAACATTTACAAAGAATTATTAGTTGATCTTTAGTTTTTTTTTTGCAATCATATTCAGAAAAATGAAAATCTAAAGAATAATACATTCTTTTATTCAATAAACATTGTACTTTTTTTTTTTAATCAGATAGACATTACAATTACATCAAAAAAAAAGAAGTGATTATTCAACGAATAGACAATGTTCAATTAATTGAATTAAAAAGTTTAATTTGCATTAGTATTTTCAACAGATTACTTTTAAATAATAAATAGAGAACACTTTAAACTTTATGGATATTTCAATTAAACTTGTTTGTGTGAAATTTTACAAAGTTTTGTATTCAATGAGTCCATTGTCAGTTCATAGATGATTAAAAATAGTTTCATATCGTATTGAATTGTTATACATTGAACAAATTTTGAGTAAAGTATTTGAAATTTTGAAGTGTTGCAGACTTAATTCATAAATTATTAAAGTTCATCAAAATAAATAAAATAAACCATAGATAATCTCACAAAAGACAATTTCAAAAATGTGGGCAAACTTAAAGGGTTAAGAGCAAAACACTTTATCTTCACTAAGACGCTTGAACAATGTTTTTTTTTTGCATAGACGTTTTCTAACTCTGTATGGTTTTTTGTCTTTCTTCTTCCAGCTTTTCATGTCACAACAACAACTATTACAGCAGAAATTTCGAATTGATCTTTAATTGATGCATCATTGTTCATGGGTCTCAGCTTAAAATTAATACATGATGACTGATGAATTCTCATTAGAGGCACATGTTAAACACCACATTCAAAGAAGATAAGAATGATCATCTTGGTCAGTGTTCAATCATGTAATGCAATTGATAGAAAAGTATGAATCATTTCTTTTAAAATAGATATCATTTATTATAATTAAGTAATTGTATGCAAACAAAAACAACATGCAAAAGCCTTTTTCCTTTTTCTTTTACTCTTTTCTTTTTTTCTGTCCTTGAAACATTTACAAGCATCCTTTCTTCGCTTCTTGTTTTTGTTGTCTCTTTTGTTTACTTACTTCTTCTCAAGTTCGAAAATTGTTTTTTTGCTTTTCTCGTCTTGTCCTTGTATGTACTATTTTACATCTATACAAGTAAATTCAATATTTTGTATAATGATATTGATGACAACTGTAAAACGCATCGTATGTATGTTATACTAAATGCTTAAATATCATAATTTTTCATTATATTATTGTGTACCTACGTTCGAATGTTACATTTATGAGCATAATAATAAAAAAAAAGAAAGAAGACAATTTCAAAAACAACATTCATAAGGTAGTTTAATCAAATGCACAAATGTATTATTCATTAGGAAAAGTCGCATTTTTTTTTCTACATAGTCCTTAAAATTATTAATAAGAAAAGAGCATAAATGTTTCTTTCTTCTAATCGAACAAAATAATCATTGTTTTTTTCGATAGAAATATCAATCCGTTTTTCAAAATTAATGTAAATTATTTACTAATTGTGATGAATATTAATTTTGAAAATTAAATATCATATTTGAACATTATTATAAGAGATTCACATTCACAAGAATGATAAGCGAAAATTATTTCAATACTTTTTTTTTTGTTTGTGAGCAAAAAAATTCAATTCTATTTTGTAATAGTATACAACAAAAGCACAAGGATATTTTATTTTATTACATTGCTATCGATCTTCCAAGTATAAATTTTACTTAGATCAACCTCTGTTTCTAAGATTTTCCAGAAATATTTTCAATATTAGCGACTTCTATAATACATTTAAGGGTGTGGGTGTGGGTGTGGGTGTGGGTGTGTGGGGTGCGGGTGTGGGTGTGTGGGGTGCGGGTGTGGGTGTGGGTGTAGATAATCATTCCACCATCCATACCCACCCACACCCTAAGATATTGTCATCATCGTCATCACAAGCAGTATGACAAGATTTCTTTTCCTTTGATATCGGTTGGACATTACATGTTCGTATAAGAGTCAAACAGAAGAGTTGTTATGAAATAAAGAAAAAACAATATCATTCATAGAAAGATATATAGGAAGAAAGAAAAATCCTTGCTGTTTCTGCTGAAAAGTCTATTATCAAAAATTTTTCTAGAGACACTGTAGTATGGTTTCTAAAAGATTAGTACGCTATGCTCAGCTTTTGATACTATTTCGAATGATATAATTTTCAAAGAGCCACCACGAGATCGAAAATTTCGAAACGATTACTATATTTTCTTATCTAGAGCTTAGGTTTAATATGAAAAACCAAGTTGTTCATCTGTATTGAATACGTAATTCACCATCATGACTTCAGAGAAAAGAAATTGTTCAATCGAATTGATACTTGATTTCTCTGTCTATTATTGTATTTATTTTTCGTTAGATTTCATTGATAATGTTGAATTCTTCTGCCAATAGCACACATCAGTTAAAATTAATATGCATATCTAGTATACATAGTATGTATATTATTGATAATTGAAGTAATGAAGAGAACCCAAAAAGTAAACTACGTTCAGCACTATCGTCGTGCTTGTTATATCATCAATAGAATACAGAAAATATATACTGAAAATTGTCTTAAACGAGGACTTTACACTTCCGTGACATGTTTATTTTTTGCTGCTATTTTGTAAAGAAAATGAAACTATTAATACATAAACTTTCTAATTTTTTCAGCAAACTGAGTTGTTTTGAGAGAGAGTTATGAATTTTTACAAGTTCCATGCCGTTTTCCGATACCTATCAGTATAGAATTTCAAAAGTTTTTCAAACAAAAGATTTTCATTTGATTTTTATATAATCTGTTAGAGGCACCAAGGATGTACGTTGAAATTGTTTTGATGTAACCTTATGTCAAATTTCAGATATGAAAAAAATGTTTTGTTTTTTGCAACTAAAGTCTTTTTCTAGACTTTTTTTTTGATTTGCACTCAGAGTTTCATCTATGTTTTGTTTTCGTAATCAAAACTAACGATCAACAGATGATCCTGTACAATTTTAGTAAATCAATTTAATATTTCGTGTCACTTTTAATAAGATACTTAAGAAAATCTTAAGATCACTACGATTATTTCGTATTAGAAATTAAAATCAATCAGGTAATACTATAAAATTATTTTTCACTATCTATACTTGTTGAATTAAATAAGTTATAACTTTATCAATTCTGTCATATTATGATACAGATTTTGTGCACATATAAAAATACACAATAGTAAAAAATAAAGTCATAGACCGTTCAAGTCTCGATATATGCACAAACAGAAAAAGAAACAATTATTCTATCTACTAATTATTTTTACTGTCT